TCATCTTTATTAAACAACAATTAGTTGAGGAAAAACAAAGCAGAAATAAATATATGCAAGTAGTGCGATGATATGCATGCTAAGTTGCTGAACAGTGCAGGCACATGCACTGTTGCACAAATGCAGTGCATGCAAAACCAGAGACCACTACATGAATATTGTATGCTCTAAAATCAATGATAAAACAGAACAAAAGAAAATATGTCCTCCAAACTTTGTCATAGTGACTTGTCAAGAAAAGCATATTTTGCCCTGCAACAAATGATTATTAGTGTTCACACAAGTGATGCACGCAGCAGGAGGCAGCTGACTGTGGCAACACTGGTCAGAAATCAAAGACAAGTGTGTTCATGTGTTGGCAGTGGGGGAGTGACTGATTGAGTCTGCTGCTGCTGACAGACTGATTACACTCAGAAGTGAACAGGGAGCAGTAATGCACCAGTATACCACAGACAAAAGGGGAGGGAGGGGGTGCACCAAACCATCCCTCATCTAACCACCACTACCCCCTCTCTCCTGCATCGAGGAGAAGGGCTATCCCAGCCTCCCAGCATCGTGATCTCCACTCTGCAGTATCTCCTGATGTCAGCTGCGATGGGCTTGGCCCTGACAGACGACACTGGGGTCCACTCGGGCTGCTTCTTTAGACCCTGCCACGATGCTTTTCATATGCTTCAATGACAGCGCTACACCTAAATAATAATGCCTAACAAGCATATTTGAGTGAGTTAGATATTTGTTTTTTTATAAGTGGAAACAAAAACTGAATGTCTATGTTTTTTGTGTAATTTTTAAAAGTTATTATAAAGTTCCCTGAGACTCTGCACCATTACATGGAACAAAAAAATGGGGCTTAAAATGAGCATCACCTGCATTCATTTCTTTTTTGGTGCTATGCAGAACAATATACCGCTGATATTATTTATCCATAATACTGCATACAGAAGAATACAGACAACAAATTGGCACATGGAAATTCTCACTGATGCCAGCAAAAAGGCAAAACTTAAAAATCGTTTGTTACTTTACTACATGTGCTGTGAGATGCGGCTCTTACAAATCATTCTTGCAACTGTGGATTTGTTTATGCTGAAATTATGGAAACATCTGAAACATTCAAGGAGCTGCAGTGAAACCACCACATTGCCCAACGCCGATGGCACAGAACATAAACAGGCAAAGCATCACACAAATCCAAACAGAAAAGGAGGGCTAGCAGCTCTAATATCCAAGATGTACAATCCACGTCGCTGCTTTTGCGCAAACGTAGTGCACAGCCCCGTTCATACCGGTGCAATTCGGTGGTTTAATGGTTTCCCCCACAACCCTCATTCCCAGTAAGACTTAGCAACCATGTGCAAATTCCATATAATTCGCGACAACGGTAAATTGGTAACGGATCTGAGAGCCCTCCTGAGATTAACTGGCCGCTTCGCGCGGCTCTCTGACCGCCGCCTCTCCATCCTCAGCAGCCCCTAAAAATGCACCTGCCCGGCCGGGAAGAGCAGCATCATCCACGAGCGCTGAACGGTTACCTGAACCGAGGCCTCTCCCGTGGCAGCGTGGGTCTCTCTCGGGTCCTCCTCCGGGGGCGGGGGCAGGAGGGTCCAACCGGTCCGGCTCTCGCTCTCCGGGGGCTGCAGGGATTCCTCACCACGCTCTCCCTGGTCCGCTGACGGAGCTCCTCTCGCCTCCCCAGCATCAAGTCGCCGCGCTACAACCGGAAGTCGATCTGTTCCGATTTCAAAATAAGTCACGTTTAACCTTAAGTCCTGCTTTACTGTTGGTAAGCAAGCACAGCATGAGACCTTAGGAAAAATAAATAATTCACAATAAACTGTTTATTCTGAATTATTTTTGTCTTTTAAATTAAGTTTCTGTTACAACACAATGAATGTAGGCTTTATATTTCTGACCAATTCTACAAAGTTCATGGACTTCCTATGAAATTTGGACAAAGGTTTTAATGTTAATGTTTTCCTTTAAAATGTAATAAAACTGCACTAACCACCTGCACAAATTTAAAAAAGGTACATAAAATTAGCATGTAGCTTAGCTTACCTGTTGCTAGCAGATTAGCTGCAGAAGTTAGCACAACCGCTATCCGTACAGTTTTCTTTAAAAGCAGAGGCCGCGCAGCTCAAAGTCAGTAAATGATAACTATCTTTTTCCAGGTACACAACTAAAAGTTTTCCTCACTGGATTTTGTAAATTAACGACCAAAAATACCATTAAAAAAAAAGAACTAATTGGTTTAAAGATGGCGTCCGTCCTCCAACATTTTTTCTTAGCTCGGCAGTTAAAAAAAAAAAAAAACTAACAAAAAAACATAAAATGGTGTGTTGCAAACCTAAAATCACAGTGAAACCAATAAAGAGTAATTTTGTATTCTTATGCTGTCTTATGAAAGTACATAAAGGAAATTTTACGTCCTTCCCCTGTGCTTGACTGCGCTTGTTGCCTCAACAGCAGAGGAGGAAGCGCGGGGAGGAGGGTGCTCACTGCGCATGCGCCGATCTTACAGGCCTGCTCCAAATCCCGTTCCACAAGAGGACAAACATGCTGTAATTAAGAAAGAATATCCGCCTATTAACGGCTTTATTTACCTGCTACACCCCATCTGTGTCATATCTGAGAGCATTCACCTGAAAATGAAGACCAAATCTCCCAATAAGTAAATGTAACTAATTTCCATCTTGAACATAAACATCAGATCCTGTTCACTGTTTCATTACAGTCAATATACAAAATATATATATTTAAAATATTTTTTCAATTCCAACATACTTAAATGAACACCTCACTCTGACATGTAGTAAATTATTAATCTATTAAAAGCAACTGAAATAGGAAAACGTGTTTTACAATCCTTTTGTTGTTTGTTTAAAAAGACACTCCTATAGCAAACACACAATTATTTTTACTATACCAGAGGTTGATACGCTAAATGTTTTTCTATACTATCAACACATTTGTTTAAAAATGATCAGCTATGAAAAGCTGGGGGTGGTGTAAGGGTTTCTCAAAAATAACATTAAATTTACAAACTAGTTTTTTTATTTTGGATCTTTATTTTAGGGGCTGAGATGAAATGTTTTATCTGAAAAGATATTTGGAAATAACGCAGTTATTTTATTAGTTATTACACTTAAGTTATTAAGCAACAGAAAAGTGAGCTGCAGAGGAGATAAAATGATGTGTACTGAAGAGATAAACAGTAGTGCAAGTTTAATGCAACGTTTTTATTTTCTCCTAACTTTAAGAAAGATCTGGCTCCATCTACAGTTCAACTGCATCACTGTGTAAATTATTTCTCCAACAAAAATCTAAATTTTCCTCTCCTGTGTCCTACTGTAAAAAAAATACATAAAAACTCTGTTGGGAGATTTAGTTTCTTCAGTGCTGTCTTCAGATAAAACATTAAAACAATTCCCATTTCAACATCTTTTAATATATCTCACAGTAAAACCACATATTATCAACACCGGCCACTGAAACTAATGAAACTTGCAGAAGTAATCACTGGAGGTACATTTAATACTCGTTAACTTTTGGAGTCAAGCCAATTCAAGATGGCTGCCTAGCTGCCAGCTTGTCAACACAATCCAACGTAAAAATGGCTAAAACACTGAGCTAAAATTTAACGTGATAGTAGCTGAAAGCCATTCCCAATTTCACATGAAATTGTGCTTATTGTTGTTTCAAACAGCTATAACTTTGCCGTAAACTCTGGCATGAAATGTTACACTCCTTCAAGAAACAGTCCCTTAACATCAAATGCTCATTAATCCAGGTAAAAAAAAAAAAAAAAATCCAACAATGTTCAGTCAGGTCATCTGGACGATTTTTTTTTTTTTTGAGACATTTCATCCTTCATCTAAAGGACTTCATCAGTCCGAGGAGCCACAGCAAACTTATTCCCACAAGCAGCACACTCACATAGAGGACCAACCAGTTTGCTGGTGATAAGATGGTTTTTGGAGCCCACCCTCTAAGTTTGTTGTGGCTCCTCGGACTGAGTAAGTCCCTTGGATGAAGGATAAAATGTCTCAACAAAAAATAATTAAAGAAACCGTCCAGATGACCTGACTGAACACTGTTGGATTTTTTACATGGATTTTTGAGCATGAACTTTGATGTTTTGAACCACTTTGGCTATGGCTGCCTCAGAGGAGTCGACGGGGAGAGGGCGGTCCCCAGAAACCAGCTCATCACCAGCAAACTGGTTGGTCCACTATGTGAGTGTGCTGCTTGTGGGACTCAGTTTGCTGTGGCTCCTCGGACTGATGGACTTTTGGATGAAGGACAAAACATCTCAACAAAAAAAAAAAAAAAGAAACCGTCCAGATGACCAGACTGAACATTGTTGGATTAGTCCTTTAACTTCATGACGCTGGATCCCAATGAAGTTGTATAAAACTAAAAACCTTAAAGTCGATAACTGCAAGCTGTTTAATCCTTGGAGGCAGAGTTTTCGATCGAGGTTTTCAAACTCTTGTTTAATTAACGCAGAAAAATAATAATGGGGAAAAAAATCCTTAAATAATAACTGTGCTGTAAGGAAAGACCAGCGCGTACGTAGTTTCATAATAAGGTGCTGTTTATTTATTCATTCCATTATTCACATCTCACATTACTCTCACAACCTTGTAGTATTGTGTAATACTGACCTCTGCCTCCTCTCACCGGAGACGAGAGGCCTGGTCCAAACACCAGCTGACCTCTCAGACTCCAGGTCCACCTCTGTCCCTGGGACTCTTCAGCTGGCCAGGTGGAGCGGGGGGGTTCTGATTACAGAATTGTGCTAAGTGACCCCACATCCTCACGTTTACCTGCGGACAGAAGCTCGATGGGATCAGAGCTGGACCCGTTTGGTTCAGTGTTCGTGGTTTGCGAAGTGTTTTTTTTTTAGACATCAATGTCCAGATTGAAGTGTTTGATCACTTTCACTGTGACAGCGGAGTCCCAGCTGCGTCAGGACCCCCATGATAACTCCAAGCAGGTGGGTTTTAGCAGCATCGCCTCCGAGGAAAGACGGCAGCGTTCAGTTCGAGTGTTCTGGGTTCGATTCGGGCTGTAGGTGTTTCCTCGGTGCTTCCTGTCAGCACGCCTTTCGGACTTGTGCAAGCACTGAGCAGGAGTGTAGTGGTGGCCGACGAGACGCAGAGCGACGTCAGAAACAGACCGTGGACATTTAATAACCTCATCCAGGCAGCAAAGAAGACCCCCCCCCCCACTTAAAAACGGCTCCCACCGCTTGGTGCAGACTCCACTGCTGCTGTGATATCAACCGTTTTAAATCTTTGTACAAGTTTAAGGCAGGAAGTTTTGTTTTAAATAAGTCTCAGTCTTGATTAATTTCTCCCTGCACAAGATTGGATTTTTTTACTTCTCAGTAGAGGACGGGAGGCCTGGAATATTCTAGTGTCTAGTGTCCTTCAGGCTGGATCCACTGACGTTAGCACGAGTCATCGTCGTGTGCTACGCCATGTAGATGAAGGTGTTTATATCGGTCTCATCCCGCTTTATGTACTTGTGGTCTATCAGCCACTCGATCTGCTCCTTGATCATCTTCTTCTGTGGTAAAAACATGTTCTTCAGGATCTCCACCAGCTCCGTCTGCAGCTGGGCGTTGTTGATGCGCTTCCTCATCTTCATGATCTGGATGATGGCCTCCTGAAGGTTACAGCAGAGAACCGTCAGCTGCTGTTCAACCGCACAGGGAGAGAAGAGGTGCATGCTGGGAGTTCATGTTCTCTCACCTGCGTTCTTAGGATCCTGAGCTGAACGATGCCTTCGTTCTCCTCCTCTCTCATTCGCTCCGTGGTGAGCTGCAGCCGACCGATCAGGTTAATCTTCCCCCTTTTCTGCACCTTTGAGTTTTTTCTGTAAAGTTGGACATTAAAGGATCGGTTTGTGGCTGTACGCTTCAAACTGACGACACGTGGGAAAAAAAAAAGGTATCAAATAATTTATTTTTATTTTGACTGTTTTATTACGTTGTATGACAAAACAGAACTGGGACAAAAATCTAAACATAAGATTAAAAAATATATATTTTAGCTTCTGATGAGTAGTTTGTAGATATGAAATGTAAATGCACAGCAGATAAACGTGAGTCCTAGACATGCTGTGTACATGAATGCAATCTGCTGACTCCTCAGATAATGTTAGTAAGCAAATTTTATGTATATGAATGTTTCTGTTCAGTGCCTTGGCACTATATAAATAAACTGAATTGAATTGAAACTGAAATTAATTAAATCATCGTGAAGCGGTTTTAACCCGTTCAGCACAAGATACAACGTACAAAGCTTGCGTGTGATTTTTTTTTTTTGTCTGCAGAACCTTTTTCAGATTCTAACATCTTAGAAGATCTCATCACGAATATATGTTTCGTTTGTACGTCAGAAACCAGGAACTAAACAAGGTTCTGGGGAAAGATGTTACTAGGCCTGTCGCGATAAACAATAAATCAATTCATCGCATGATAAATAAAAATTATTGACCTCATTTTCATTCATCTGCTTTATCGTTTCTTTGTCTCTCTCTTTATACTGAAGACACTGGATGACAAAAGGCTCAACTCCGGTGCTCTTTGCTGACCCCTCCCTCTCTCATTTCTCTTTAAAATACATTTTAACGATCTAAAATCACGTTTTTGGATCGTTAAAAGCAGCTAAGCTACGAGCTAAGCTAACAGGCCGACCTCGGCGAAAAAAACCTTCATCTCGTCGAAGCTCCAAAATTCACGGTTAAAACCCGTTCCTTCGTCTAAAAAGTTGTTTTCCTTTGCAAAAAGAAGCTGAGAACTTGTTTACTGATATTTTTATTAGAAATTTTGTGTGAAAAATGCTATGCTAAAGAGCTCAAATCACAAAGTGCCTGCCATTTTGAGAATGGAAAAACAGGAAGGAGAGACAGCCCATGTCACGTCAAGGGGCCTCCCTCCCATTTTCCTTAAAGAGACACGCTGCTCGCTCCCTCACTATCCACCCTTCGGTTCAAACAGTCTTATACTGCCATCCGGTGGTCGAAAAAAGGTACTACACACAAAACAAATTAAACACTTCTTCTTAAATTTGACAATAATTATTAATTATTGTCAAATTTCAAACAATATTACCATTTATTCCAATAATTTCTGAGACAATTAATCGCCCAGCAAAATTTGTTATTGTGACGACCTAGATGTTACCCCCCAAACACTGTCTACTTCTAAGATTAGGCCTTTCCTTTTTGATAAATCCTAGTTAGGGTCGGCTTGGGTTTCCTGAGCTATCCCTTAGTTATGCTGCTATAGGCTTAGACTGCTGGAGGACAAACTGACCACATTTCCTCACTCTGCTGCTGTCTTTACTTACTCTACCTGTTTGTTTTTGTAATTATTTATATCCTTGACATGTGTTTTTGCCTTTCTTCCTACAGGGGGTATACCTGCACCTGCACCTGCACCTGCACCTGCACCTGCACCTGCCATTCTGTGTTTGTTTCTCCTTCCTGTCCTCTCGAACTCGAGCCGGTTGAAGCAGATGGCCGCTTGTCCCGAGCCTGGTTCTGCTGGAGGTTTCTTCCTCACGAGAGTTTTTCCTTTCCACTGTTGCCTCTGTGCTTGCTCAGGATGGGAGACTGCGATGAAGTGAAGATTCAACGAGTCTGCTGCTTCCTTAGATAGAGAACTTTACTGAATGGCTTTTCTTTGTATGTGAATGTTTCTGTTCAGTGTCCTGAGACAACTTTGTTGTGATTTGGTGCTGTAGAAATAAACTGAACTGAAACAGCTCAACCTTTGGAGTCAGCTTGATTTAAGACGGCTCCCACAGCTTAGCAAACACAAAAATGGCTACAACTCGGTCAATTTGACAGTTTTTAGGCTACAATTAGGTGTGGTAGTAGCTGAAGGTCATCCCCGAAACATACTTGGAGCACTAACAGATTGTATAAGCAAAGGACGCGAGCGACAAGCGATCACTCAAGGAACGTTGCTGTATTTTCTACGTTTTAGCCTCCTGTCCAGACATTAATGAAGTTTTGGATTTTAGGGTTATGCTTAGGCCTGATCTGCACCGCCGATGCTTTATATTCATTAACTCAAACAGAGTTAAAGATAAAACCGGCAGAGTTAAGTACGAAGCCTCGACCAGACGTTAAAACTCTGTCAGTCACACGGAACATTATAACTGCACGGCTCTTACATGAGAGAAAACTCCTGGTTGACGTAGAATAACGTTCCTTCTGCGAAGTCTTTGGGCGAGGACACGAGCGGGTCGTACAGCAGCACTTGCCGCTTCAGTTTGGGGAACGCCACCAAAGACTGGGAGCACAGAGGAGCAGGAATGAGACATTTACAAGAGCTGGAGCTTCATAAAATAAACCTTTGCTCAGTAATAAACTCCAGAGACAGAAAGTGTTTTGTTTCCAGTCGTGTTTACCCAGAGGGTGCGTCGCAGCTCGGCGTCCGGTAGCTCGGAGGCTAACTTGAGGTTTTCAAAGCTGATCCGTTCCCTCGGCCGCTGGTTCCAGGCGAACAGCACGGCCAGCTGGAACGTGGTCACCTCCAGGTCGTACTGCCCCACCTCATTCTTAAAGGTTATCTGCAGAAATTTAACTTTTTGTTTCCTTTCAACAACTTACCAAATTTAAAAGTGTCACAGATGGACGTGCACCAAGGTGTCGTTTTTAAATATACTATTTAAAAGCATAAATGTTCGCTCTAAATAAAACTTCAACAATCACAGAGGTTGGATTTAAAATTCCATCCTGAGAACTAAACCTATTAAATAAAAGCAAAAAATAAATAAATAAATTACAAAATATTTTGATAATGAATTTACTACAAGTTTTAGGTTTCTGAGCAAACAAAACCGCCTCATTTTTAAGTTCTGTGAACATAAAACCAACATGTCTAACGGTGTCTCTGTGTTTTAGATGAATATCACGGCAAAGAGATTTTTTTAATCGGCCAAGTAAAATTTCAGCTCATTCACACCCAGAAGCCGCAGGTGAGCGTTCTGTTAACCGAGTGAATGTTCATGAAGCATTCACACTGTTGTGATCCATTTTTATTCTGTGCATTTTTCTGCATCTTTCTCGTTAGCAATTTTTGTGCCATTTCAACTAATCATAAATCAAAACGCTCAGCTCGTTCAGGAGAAGGGAGCTATGACTTTTAGTATTGGTGCAACTTTAGCTTTTTGAAATATTTAGCCTTTTCTGCCATTTTTTCCTCATAGGAAATGAAGTGAGCTCATTTTACATCCTTCAACGCTTTCGATCTGTTTACAGCATTTTACAGCTCCGTTCACATTTTATTCTGCTTCAGCTTCTTTCAGCTTCCTTGTGCAAATTTAAACTTTTTTCAGCTACTTTCAGTTAATTTCAGCTGTACTTTCAGCTGTTTTGTGCTTCTTTCAGATTATTTTGGCTAACAACATTTTTGTGTTCCTTTCTGCCAATTTCAACTCCCTTTCAGCTGATTTCTGCAAATTTCAGCTTTTTCTGCCATTTTAGCTACTATTTAGCTGGTTTTATTAGCTAATTTTATTTTTTCAGATAATTTCCCATTTTTTGTGCTAATTTCTGCTTCTTTCAGCCTAATTAGGCAAACATGTTCTTTCTGCTTTGTTCTGCTAATTTAAGCTTTTTCTAACTTTTCAGCTAGCTTTTTAGCATTTTTAGCCAATTGCAGCTGTTTTCAGATAAATTCAAGGTTTTGTGGTAATTTCTGCTCCTTTCAGCCTAATTTAATTCTTTAAGCTAATTTCAGCTATTTATATGCTCATTTCAGCTTTTTCTGCTATTTCAGCTACTATTTAGCCATTTTGTGCTAAATGTAGTTTTTTCAGCTAATTCCACATTGAGCTCATTTCAGCTCCTTCCACCTTCCTTATGGTGGTTTAAGCTTCTTTCTGCCTTTTCAGCTATTTTCTTTGCTAATTTCAGCTTTTTTAGCTAATTTATTAATTTTTGTTCCAATTTTTCCTTATTTAAACCTAATTCAGCAAATACATGTTGTTTCTGCTTTCTTCTGCCAACTTGGACTTGTTCTGCTTTTTCAGCTACATTTCAGCATGTTTTTAGCTCATTTCAGCTGTTTTTGAGCAAATACTTTAGCAATAAGCATTCACACTGCATTTTTGGAGGAAATGCAATTTCTCTAGTTGATTTTATCTTTAAGATGGTGACAATACTCGTCACATCTAACAAAGATCAAAAATAAACCTGGAAGATACATTTTAGTTCAGATATCTTCTCGAATAAAATTGGCGTTGAGCTGGAACGTTTTGTCCTGACGGTGGATTCGCTGCAGAACGTGCGAGTCCGTCTCAGTTCTCACGTGTTAAACTCACGATGCCGTTGGACATGAGGTGGTGCCAGTGGAGCTTCCTGCCGCTGTGATTCTTCTTGTAGAAATCTTCCACCTCGGGGATCAAATCCTCGAGCTCCGTGGGAAGAGAGACGAACACCTTCTCGCTGCTCCTCGACCACGCTCCTGCGTTCAGGATCTTTATGTTGACAGAGTCGGCTGCAGGGGAGCAAACAGCTAGAACTCAGCTCAACACAAACACGTTGCATAAAAACACATTTTAAAAGAAGTTGGAATATAAATAACAGACAGACGTGTGCCGCCTTATTAAATTATAATTTAAAATGTAAATTAAACAACTGGTAACGCCGATTAGATACAACAATCCACTCAGGAAGGTAAACAGAAGAAAATTACAATTATTTATTCTTAGGAAATTTGATAAACAGTAGTCCCCCTACTTCGTGGTTCAACTTTTGTGGACTCGCTCGTTCACGGGTTTTCAACATAAGAGTGTTCACGACATACGATTGTCAACTTTAATATCACTCACATGATTGGGACGGTCCTGGATAAAAACTTAACGGAGCGGGAACCAACCAATAGGACAAAAAACAACACAAAAAAAGTAAAAAAACGGACAGGCGCCGCCTTTTTGTAGTTTATTTTTCCCCTCCAACAAGCCTACACTGTAACGTAAGTCAAAAGAACTACATGGCCCAGAGGCCAACAGTGCTTCCGGTCGCTGCTTTCTGATGAAATTCAAAGAGCATTAATGGAGGGCGCAAACACTAACGGAGAAACTGATGTGGTAAAAATAGTTTAGCGACGCAGAGTCTGAAGTAACGATGCATCTGTTGAACTCACAGGACTGGCAAGAAAGTCACAAATAATCCTGAAGCTGAACTCATCAAGTTGTAGTATCTTTACTGGGGAGTACCACTGAAGTCACTCCAGGGCCATTTTCCAGCTCACGAGCAACTTCAATACAGCCCACTTCATTAAAAAAAACACATGGGGTTCTGTTTATTGCATTTATGATTCAAAGAAATAAAGCAATTTAAAAGGTAACAGATCATTGTAAACTTTGGTTTATTTAAATAATGATTTTAATGGCTGGATGTCTGGCCCCTGAGCTCTGCCCCCCTCTAGGCCCTTGAGCAAGTGGCAACAAGAAAGTCGGTTTAAACAACTTCCCATCATTTAATTCCAACAAAGTTCAACAGCAATTACTGGGTAAAGAAGTTGCGCCCAGCAGGTGAGGTTAAACTATCATTTGAAGTTTAGCACAAGTCTGAGCTGTTTTCTGTCCCATTAACAGAGACGTACACGTCATTCTGCACCTGCCGTTTAATAATAAAAACAATAACAACGTTCATTTTAGCAGGTAAGTCAACCGAGAACCAATTCTCATTTATAATGACGACCTGGCCAAGAGACAGCAGACGGTCAAATAAATATAAACTTTGTCAAAAACCTTTCACCACCTTGATTGTCTTTATTATTACTTGCACGTGCAGAAGTCTCTCTTCATATGTAGTTTTTATGACACCGCAGAGCTAAATGCTCGATTCTACTGGGCTGTTTCGCACGACACTCGGATAAAACCCAGACGGAACAACAACAATATCTTTTTCTAGAACGGATCAGTGAGATTTCTGCTTTATGTACAATAAAAAATATTGTAGTAAGAATACTTGTTTATTAACCAGCTAAAGAGGCAAAAAGGGTCTTTTCAGCTGATCCAATTCAACAGCTGTTTAGCGCCCCCTTCAGGCTAATTAGTTGTCATTGCAGCGTAACCTGAAGTAGAAAAACTCTAATTAAGGATAAAACATCCTGCTGGTTTTCAGTTTTGGATAAATTACTGAAACTTCCACGTGTGGAAGAAATTAATATTTATTCATGTCACTGTCATACATTCAATTAAATGTTAAAGAAGCAGCTGTTGGAAATATTAAATGCACGAGGAGAGTTTGACCGCCTGCAGCTGTTGGCGTGGTGCAGATGTTACCTGGTAAAGCCAGCTTGTTGTGTTTGTGCATTTCTTTAAAAGACTGGTTGAGGTCCTCGGACACTTTGATGTCTTGGAACATTCGGGCCAACTTGTTGACGTAATCAGCTGGCATGCCTACTTCCTGTAAAAACAAATTAAGACGCGTTTTCTGTAGCTAATTAAGTTTCGGAAATCAAAAAAGATGTTGAACTCTGCAACCATTTTTAAATTATTGTGCATTAAATCACTCGAGTGACTCGTTTTGGTGTTTGTGAGTTTTGTGGGTTGCCTCTGACGTCACGTCGTAATTCATTGAAGTGTGAAATGAAAGCGCTTGGTGCGGTTCGTACCCTGAGCCACTCCACCATGTTCTCCTCGATCTCGCTGTCGGCTGAGATGTCCAGGATGAGGCGCCGGGTCAGGTGGGCCTTGTGGTAGCGCATGAACACGTCTTTGTTCTGCACATACTTCAACACTAAAAGCTGCACAAAGATAATTAGCTATTATTAAAGGAGATAAAGCCTGTTTTCTAAATAAACCACTTTATAATTCAGGCACAGTTTTGGTTTGTTGAAGAGTTTCGTGCTCAGAACAAACTCTGCGCACCACAAGTCAGGTTTCATGTCGGCGGTGTCCAAACCTTTTCACAAGCAATGTGGTCAAAATGAAAGTACTCACAGGCTGCAAAAATGTGAATTTATACAATAAGAACGCAGATTTTTTTAAATCACACCACAGTGAGGTGGATAGGGAGCGCTGAAGCTGTGCAAACATTTCTTTGATGAAAAGTGTTCAGTTCCTTTGATCTGTTTCGTCTCTTATTTCTTATTTTAAAAGATGTTTCCCCTGAAACGATGCTGAGGCTCCAGCTGCAAACTTTGACTGAAAGATCTCAAACTGAGAGAAGAAACACGGAGTTGAACGATTTCTACAGAGTACCGGCAGCGTGAAAACAGAGTTAATGTGTCGACGCTTCCTTGTGTTTGTTAAAAGCCTTGTGGCAGCATCCTATTTACTGTTTATTTATATTGTTTCATTAATATTTCACCATGCTCAAAGCTTTCAGCCATGTTTTACAGATGAATAATGACCGACTGTGAATTCTGAGCAGGGTTTTAGAAGTTCGGAGCATTTGTTTTTTATTTCCTTTATTTTTAATGTTGGAAAATTTATTTTGCTGAAAATGTCCAACAGTAATTGTTTATTGTTGTTCATTCATGGTAAAATGTAGATCTGGAAACAAATACTGTAATTTTCTTTTTTACCTGGGATACAATAAAGACAAATATAATTTTTAAAATAGCTAAGAAGCCTGAATAAAACAACAATTATTAGCAGTGTTTCCCCTACCATTCTCCAAGGAGGGCGCCCCGCTCTGTCAACATAATGAGCACCCTGCCTACTGAACTCCCCCCCACTCCCGTCGACTACTGATGGCACTGCCGTAGCGCTAAGCTAGCGGTGAGCGATACAGACGTGTTAGCTAACCAACTACAGAGGTAGTGCTCCGTTTCCCTCAGGCTGACACCCCCCCCAGACAAAAATCACAGAAAAGATGAGCACCCTGCCAACGCAAGTGACCTATGGGAGGGGTCTGCAACCTGCGTCTCTGGGGCCACATGCGGCTCTTTGAGGCTTTGACCAAAACTAAAATAAAACGGAATTTTATTTCAATTATTGCAAACAATGAAAATGGCTAGTTTTAGCAGATGTCCTGTCATTTTCAAATATGTGAAGAATAGTACAAATAAACGGCGTAAAAACATGTAGACTGCATCATGCTAGTACTTTGTTAGCCACTTTAAGTCAACTTCCAGTCTCACAGCGTGATCTTTCTCTCAAAACCACCAGAATGTGTTGGAATATCTTTAAGAGAAGCTGCTGAGAAGGAATGTGAATAACTTTGATGACACTAAGAATAAAACACAAAAAAACAAAGTCAAACTAAACTAAAGTATTTATTTTTCGTTGAAAATGTACCGTATTTTCCGCCGTACACGTCACTTCGCTCTATAAGTCGCATCAGTTCATATTTGTCTAATAAAGTGGAAAAATCCATAAATATGTCGCTTCGCCGTACGCGTCGTGTTTGTTACGCGTCACCGCTGACAACCCGGAAATGTGGGCCGGTGTTGTGCCAAAAACCGATGGGCTGCCAAATGGTGGCCACTGGAGCATGCACGGGAGGACTTTAACAAGAATTTAACAAGATTAACACTTAAAAACAATTATTTGTTTGCTTGAAATTATAGTAAATGTGTGTCTCAATCTAACGTTTGTTTAATAAATGCACTTTGACGGTCAAATCAGCTGCATTTCAAAAATAGTTGCGCTGCTGAGCCGCTCCCAGGAGAGCGCTTACAGAGAGGGGAAAAAAAAGGAGAGGAACGCTACTCGTTTAATCGAAACTTAACAAGAAAAGCACCTAAACAATTATTTGTTTGCTCGAAATTATAGCAAAGGTGTGTCTCAGTCCAACATTTGCTTAAAAAAATGCACTTTAATGGTCAAATCAGCTGCATTTCGCCGGGGCGGTGCAGCTGTTTTGACGGTTCCAAGCAACAAGCAGAATGAAGGTGGGGAGACTATGGCAGGCCGATTGAGTCAATGATAGATGGTGAAGATTCTCAGTCATCCAGGACATAGTAAATTCTAAAAAGTTCAAGAAAAAACAATAAAGTATTAAGTAAAATATAATTAATAAAGTCCAGTTGTTTTTGTCTTGAACTTTTTTGAATTTGTCATTATAGCCACGTTTACCTATTACATGATACAACAGAATGCCATATGCCCATTACTACTCTGCTGCCATCAAGTGGCTGAACGTGGTACTGTTCTTTATTTTTTTCTTTTTCAGTCCGAATGAATGAAAGTGATCATATCTCAGCCAAAAAATGGTTTATGAATATGGGAAAAAAATCCATAAATATGTCACTTTGGTCTATAAGTCACAGGGCGTGTAAATTATGCAAAAAACCTGCAACTTATAGGCTGAAAAATACGGTAATTGGATATCCAACAGACCTAATTTCATACCGTCTTTAACTTTATGCTTTAATACTTAATTCTTCAACAATTAAGAGAACTCATATCATCCTGCAGAGTTCAGTTTAAATTTTTATAAATTTGTAAAAAATCATATATACGTTTTCTTTCTTTTATGAATCTGGTCTTTTCTTTTGTATTAAAATGTAAAAAATATCAATAAATAATAGTAGTCAGACATTTTACGTTTTATAACATCACCCCTACTGGCCAGAAAAGCCATCTCCAACAAACCAGTGGTCCGCGGGCCACCAGTTGACCGTACACAGATGTAGCAGTTTAGCGGCTCCGGACATTGCGATTAGTAAAGAGGAAAAAATGGCTCTTTTAATGGCAAAGGTTGCAAACCCCTGATGGGAAACAGTGAATGCCTAAAAACAATCTTACCACTTCCTTGAGCTTGGCCTCGATCTCCTCGGAGGTGAGCTTCTTACTGAGCGGAGTCTTCCTCAGCAGCATGTCGCAGTAGTTGGCCAGCAGCTCTGGACACTTGGACTCTGGCTGAGTTTTCATTCCCACCCTGTGAAACATTCGAATGAAAAACATAAAGATGCTTCTGTCGTTCACGACCAAAGCCAACTACAAACACGGGGACGTTCCTCACCCCTTCTGTTTCAGCGGAAGCTCTAATTTAAAAATGGTCGCATCGTTCACCACGGCTTTATACGCCTGCAGGAAGAAAGGAGTAAAATGAATTCATCGTCACGTTTTAACGTTTAACACGGACACGGGAGTGAAACTCGACCTCACTTTGTCTCTGGCGGTCAGGAAGCGGGGGTCGTCCTGAAAGGCCTCTTTAACGAGCCGACTGAAGCGGTTGAACAGCGTGAGCAGCTGCTCCACGTACTTTTCTGAATCCTGCAACAAGGAGCAGCGAGACGATGCATCAACACGTTCATAATTCAGATTAAAAACAATTAATCTGCCAACGGAACTGATTAATCCCACCTGACAAAGGAGTTTAATACAAACAGGTTCAAATATTTTGGGTTTATTTAGTGAAATTTCTGCTTTGCTGTTTTTAAAGCCTTTATCAGTTTTATTATATTTTTATGAGCGAAGTATGTGATGATGCAACAATCAGTAAAGTTGGGCTCTTAATTTGTGGAATGCTCTTCCTTTAAATATTAGACAGGCCTCTTCATTGTCTTCTTTTAAACCATTAGTTAAAACTTACTTATTTAATAAGGCTTTTAATATCTGAATTTCTTTCTTTTTACGTTGTTATTTGAATTGATTTGGTATACTTTTGTGTTTCTGATGTCATTTATGATGTTTTAATTGATTAACGTGAAGCACTTTAACATTTGTTTGAAAGGTGCTATACAAATAAAGTATTATTATTATTATTATTAAAAAGTTTATTCATGCAGCACCTTGCTCAGACAAAAAAATGACAGTGCTTCACATCTAAATGGGAGAATTGACAAAAATGACGTTAATAAAATTTAAAAAAATGAAAAAACTCAAATTATTTTAAAACAAATGGCCTGAGGACGAACTAAAGAATCATCGCTCCGTGAAAACAAGAGAAACCGTTTCAGTCAAAGGAACTGCTTAAAGCAAAAAAAATAAAAACATCTGGATGATTTAAATCAGGTGAGAAACTTAAAATCTCTGGTTAGTTGTGGGTCACAGTTAAAGTTAACAGGTTAATGATCGGAGGAGCCGAGACCTAAAATACACAAAAATAACTTCTACAAATCAGTGATAAACAAAATGTGATTTACGTTGGAACTAAACTCAGTTCTTCCTCTTCATGTTTAGGAAAAGATCTTGAAACCTTGGAAAGTTCTGAGTTATCGCTTATTTTTTTAAAACATTTTCCTTCAAAGCAGACAAACGTTGTAATCTTTTAAAGCGGTATTCAGACGTTCATAAAATCTTTGTTTTTATTTGTTTAAACCTTGGCTGCTGTTCCCCGAGTTGTCTCTCCAGTACTTGATCATTTTCAGACCATTTGTTGTCATTCAGGCATAAAAAGGCTCCTGAACTCAGCGCTGGGTCAGCACCACAGAGACAACGTTACACTAGAGTGTGAGACTTTTTGTTAGCAGCAGCTTGTCATAAACTAACAAAGTTTGAAAAACAGAAACCATCATCTTAGCACCACCGAGGTAACCGCTGAAGAACGATTAGCTGAAAACCTGACATAAACTAGGGCAACTGGACGGTGTCCTTTGTTAAGGTCTTCTGCTGTAAACAGTTTGTTTACACTTCCTTTGTTTTAAACACACTGCTTTCATGCTTACGTACAACGATTAGGCGGTAAATAATCAAAAAATAGCCGAAACCCTAAAAAACACCAACAGATTTAAAAAAAATAAAAAACCTCAACGAACTACTGATCAAGATCACTTGAAACAATTACAGGAAAAGCTGGCTCTTCAGCATATAAAGGAATTAGGCGTGGTTTAAAACTTGTGCACGGTGCTGTACGCTCACAGAGGTGATGGTCTCTGCTGAAGCCACCATGTCAGCCAGCCCGGCGCTCATGATGTGCTCCTCCAAGTCCTTCAGCATGGGCTCGATGCCACTGGGGACTTTGTCCATGAGCGAGAACATCAGGTGCAACTCTGTGATGGAGAGAAACGAGAGAAACGTGGAGAAAACGAACTTCTTCAATATTTATTGGACCAAATTATGATTAAAAAGTAAGAGCTGTGTTTCTTTTTAATAAACTAAAATGGTTCCAGTAATAATGTCAGGTCTAAAATATAACTTTATTGTTCTAACTCCCACCTTAAAGAAAATAAACGCACTGTTAAAAACAGAGTTACCAGTTATTTAATGAAGGCCACAGTCAGGAGTCCATTTTCAAATTTTATTTAATGAACCAAAACAGGGTCATAATAAAAATAAAACATTTCTGTGTTGTTGTTTTTTAAGTAAAGCTTCAGAGACGTTGAAGCTGTAAAAAACACGAGTTTTACTTTTTTAGAAGTTCTGTCACAAATCAAAGTATTTTAAAAGCTTTCGTCACTAAAAAGCAACATTTGGATTTAATATTTTACTTTCTCACGTTTAGCTGCTAAAACTAAAACCGAAACCTCAGTCCGAAAGCAATGTCTTCAACGCAATGGTACTTTTTATAGTTATTTGTCAATAATGGTGTACCACAAGGCTCAGTCTTAGGACCACTCTCTTTACAATCTACATAATTAACTTAGGTCAGAACAGTCCCGACGCATCCTTGCATTTCTATGCCGATGACACAGTTGTTTATCATGCTAAAACGGTTGCTACAACGTGCGCTCTCAAGCCATCATTACCTGCAGCGTCCCCTCAATACGGACTGAACTCGGGAAAAAGGCCTTTTCTTACTCTGCTCCTGGAACACCTTGCAAAAAGATCTGAAGCTCTCGACAGTTGTTAAGTTCAATTCAATTCAAAAATCAAAGCAGACATGTTCCTGTTTTTAGTATTTTTACCTCGTTTCATAATGTAGCTTGACTTTGTTTTATATCACTACTTTTCTTTACGTTTATTTTATATGCATTTTATGGCTGTTTTGTTGTTGTGTGTACTTTATCTGTGGTTTTGTCGAAAACAGGTCTCTCTTGTAAATGAGTCCTCGTGACTCAGTGAGACTTACCTGTATAAATAAAGGTTGACTGAATGGAGCAACTGAAGATTTATTTTCCGATTGTTTTTGACTTAACATGCAAAACAAAACCCGTCTTTTGGCGTATTTTAAGATATTTCTCCTTTACAAACTTTCACAAGTCAAATTAGTTAACTGTCGAGGTTCTAAACACACAAATAAAAGATAAATAAACTCCACATCTTCATATAAGTGTGAAAAATAAGATTCAGACTTTAATTATTTATTCTATTATTATTTCATTATGTATAAGAATTGTCGCGGCACAGAAAAGGTTGAGACACGAACGCTTTGAGAACACATGCAGGTTTTGGACCCGTCTATTTCCTGGGATGCCTTTACTACAAACATACTCATGTTGTACTCACTGTCCGTCTCATTTCGTTTGATCATGCCTGGACACTCGGCTAAGATGGTCTCCTTGAAGGATGTTACAAGTGCATTGACGCAACACTCCATCAACTGAAGAGAGAAAACAAGGAAATGCAGCTCACGCAGTAACGACAGTTACAGTTTATACATACAGTATATATTACACTGCCTGGCCAAAAAAGCCTGACTCTATTTTGTTGTTAGCTTTGATTACAGCTCACATTCGCTGTAGCATTGAGCTTCTGCAATGTCACATTTCTTCCTGTCCAGAGTTGCATTAATTTTTCACCAAGATCTTGTATTGATGACAAGATTCAGACCACTGCGACAAGTCTTCTCCAGCCCATCCCAAAGGTTCTCGCTGGGGTCTGGACTCTGTGGGGACCAGTCCATGTGTGAAAACGTCTCGTGATCCTGAACCGCTCTTTCACGATTTGAGCCTGACGAATCCCGGCATCGTCACCCTGGAACACAGCCGTGCCATGAGGGAAGAAAAAAACCCATTGATGGAATAACCTGGCCAGCTGACCTTAGAAATTAGACCAGACCAACTGCAGGACCCCAGATCGTAGACTGCCCCCGCAGGCTGTACGTTTCAGGTAATAATTGGACCTTGCTGAAACAGATCATCGTTTCCACGACCACAGGAAGTCTTTCCACGTGGCTGTTAAACAAATGATCCACTCACTGCATCAGTTAGGGTTAAAGAACGTGTTGCTGCTGAAACAGAATCACTCGTCCAGTAATTATCCAGGCTCCTAACCATCAGCTTAGTTTAATCCAGGCGGTGACTTTTGTTTTGGGCCAGGCAGTGTAATGTGTAAATGTGTGGAGTTGAGTCAAAATACATAAACGTTGCCTTTAATACCAAACATTGAAGTACTTTGTACTAATCGGTAACAGATGTTACTCACAGCTTGTACGGAGTTACAGTCGCGTCTCGTCTCCAGATATCTTAAAGCTCGTTTCTCTTCTTCCCTCAGCTTTGAATCTGCCTGGTTAAAGAAAAATGTTTTTCAACATATAATAATTAACATTTTCACTCAATGTTTTCACCCCCTGACCTAAATATGTTGATTTTAGTCTGGATTGGGATTATTTTGTTCTTCTGGTGAGACGATGGAGAAACAGAAACCATTCATGTTTACATAGAGGCACAAAACCTACTTTACGCTTTAAGAAAGAAAACACAACTTTTAAGTGTTTAAAATATATATATTAGATTATAAAAATAAAGTTCTGTAAGAAATTTTGAACATTAGTTGTAGTTTTACGTTAGGACAAAAAAAGCCACTGAACTCGTGTTCCGTCTCCTGAACGGTCAACTCTGAGTCCTGACTGTGAAGCTATGGACATTTAATAATAAATAATAAACAAACACACTCTAATAAACTGTTAAGATTATTTATTTACAAATGTCCATTGGGTAACAATTTATGACTGCTAAAAGGCAAAACAAATTTTGTTTGCTTCAACTGTAATAAAGTTTTTTAATTAATCTTGTGAATTATTTCCACAATGATTTGTCATATTATTGTAAGTTTTGTAAAATGCCCAATTTCAGTGTAACGGTTTGTGTGTGTGTACTTTCTGTTTTTCCATCTCAAAAACTTGTTTCAAATGTGTTAAAATGTTCACATTTTTGTAGAAACTCACCGTTTGGCTGGAAGTTGGGACTAAAGACGACTAACAACTGACAGATTCTTCTTTGTTGAAACGTTTCGTCAGTTCTGTCACCAGCAGACGGGCTGATCCACCATGACAAGGTGCTGCTTATAAGACTGAGTTTATTGCAGCTCCGCAGACTGAAACAACTGACTGTTGTTCAGCGCATTGTTTTGTACTACTAGTGCTTAGTGTGTTTCTTAGTTCATGTCTTAGATCTTCTTACCGTTTTTCCTTTACAATTTATACTTTTGTTGGATGTAACAGGGACCCTGAGTACACAATTTCATTCCACCACATGTACCACATGTGGTACGAATGAGAAAGAAACATTGACCTTGACCTTGAAGAAGTCTTCTGGAGAAAAGACAAAACATTTCAACAAAGAAGAATCTGTCCAGAAGACCTGACTTAACCTTGTTAGATTGATCTGCCTGGATTATTGAAACAACAGATTGTTGCTAAATGCTAACAGAACCACTGCTAACAGGACCATGCTACTAACAGAACCATGCTACTAACAGAACCATGCTAACAGAACCTTACT